AATGCTGGTCCAGCACCCTCACCGCTTGGCCAGATGCCCACCAGTGACGGGATGGGACCCGGCGGCCCCATGCCTCCTGGCTTCTTCCCGGTAAGTCTTCCTCTGTCTTTTTTCTTGCACCCTCCTTCCTCATATTCTCCCTCTCCATCATCTCCACCCCCTTAAACTTTCCTTCCTCCATCTTGTCCCTCAGTGTGGAGAGCACTTTTCAAAGCGGGTGAAATAGCAGAGCTGGAAAAAGTGCAGAGATCGTTTACAACCACCGAAGCATTTGAACTACAGGGAACACCTCAAGAACTAGAAATGTTTTCTCTGGAGAGCAGACAAGAGAGATACGTGACAGTATACATATAGAAGCTACTGAGGGTCTAGTCCCAAATCTGCACGCTACCATAACAACATAATGGAATGAGAGATATGGAAATGTAAAATAGACCTAATGAAAAGCTTGGGAGACACGGGCACAATACGAGAGCACCGTATCGACATCCGTGGGTCTAAGCTCTTCAACCTGATTTCAATAGATCTCAGAAATGTTGCTGGAAACTGGATCACTACCTCTGCGTTGTATCAGATCAACGAGGCTGTGGTAGATGTGGCCAAGCGGGCCGTTAACAGCAACAGCCTGATCGATCAGGCAATCAACAAGGAGGCTTGGCCCAGGAGCTGAGCCACGGGAGTTGGTAAACCCCTGAAACTCTACTCTCCTGTCTGAAGGTAACTCCTTTTCGCTCACCAATCCTACAGGAGAAACTTACGTACACGAGCGGTCACCATTTATATCAACCACAAGGTCAACTTGTACTTTAACCAGAACGTTAACATTTAGACTCGGGTGGACTGGAAATACGGTTCAATAATTGGTTACTTGGAGTTCAGTTCTAAGAAATGGTAGGTTATGGCTTAAGAGAGAGGGAACACCATAAACTACAGCCTAGTCACGAACCGGGCTGAGGGGGACGTTGACCCCCGAAACCCACTTCAGGTATACTCTCCAGGTATATCAGTTAAAATTATTTGGGGGTTAAAAATCACACCAAAGATACCGAAGGAAAACTTCAAAAATATAAGCACTTATTCAGAACTAGCAAGTCTTAGGACAGTATTTGAAAACTTACCAAGGTTCAGATCAGACTGAAACGTCATATAATGTTTCTTCCCAAAACTGTTATCAATAGTGAAGTGTTCAGCCATGGTGTTGCCACTTTATTCTTTAATCCTTCAGGAATTTATACATATGCGTTACGCCCTCTGCGTGGAACCCTCGCTTGATCAGACCACATACAAAACCTTTAAAATGTCCGAAAGCGGGAAAGACCAATGATCTTGGCAGTAAATCGAAGACTAGCAAACTTATGAATCGTTTCTTGGAACCTTAACAAATATTCACTTAGGAAATTATACAAAAAAAAAAAAATGCTAAGTCCATCTTAGAATATGTAGCGCCATCTTGGAACTCGGTTAATGGACTAACAGGATCCAAGGGTTCACGACGAGGTTGGTACACGATCTCAGGACGGGGAGGAGGCAGTGGGCCACTGAGTCATGATAGATTTATAGAACGGCACCAAATAGCCATATAAAATAGGTGATTCTCCGTCCGCTAAACCTAATAGACCAAATAGTCCGGAGAATCATTATCTGATGATGGTGACCCACCCAGGTAATGGTGGGTCACCATTACCTGGGTGGGTAATGGGATACAATCATACACTCTGGAGTCACTAAGATGTATTTATCGAGTGAACTCTTTGTATACTTGCGCCCACAGACGTTAAAAATGGATGCACTGTGAATATAATGTCTGATGGAAAGTAGAGACTAGCTAGAAAACACTTTTATATTCTCACCAAGATGTACCATACATTTGTATTATGGCGGTCACGACCCAATGGTTAGGTAATTATACAATACTGTAATTTCTAGTTGGTGTGGGGATCAAGTCCCAGTCAAGATGGTTCCCTGGTAGATAAGAAGGTAACTAAATATATGGCCCTAGTCCTCGTCAGCACCAGGTAAGCCTGACCACAGGTCTGACTGCCAGATGGAAAAAAAAAACTGTCCAAAAGTAAACTGGCCACATGTGAGATGGGCTTGATCATAATCGAGCATACGAACCACACTTGACTTCATTTTAGACCCAAGTAATTAATCGGCTGCGAGTTGAAGAGACCAGAGGATGATGGCGAGTACTCTTTCTTTTCCCTTCTGCATCTGGGGGCTAACACCAATATTGCCATCATAGCATCAACATGTTCTTCCCAGTTCTTCTTTTACCTTTTTTTTTGTTACCCATACCTTAATTTTTAATATAAATCAGTTCATTTGTATATTCAGTAAACCAGTATGTTCCTGTTTTGCTTGGCTTTCAAGCTGAGTTCGGTATGAACGGGCTGTAAATATTGTCCTAGTCCTATTTATGGTTCCTAAATTATACCACATGATTTATTCGGCATGTATGTTTGTCCTGTTTTAAGTGGACATGGTAATAGTTGCCAGATGACCAGTACACATGTGGGTGTCTTCGTGATGACTAACACCATGGTAGTAGTTGCCAGATGACCAGTGCACAAGTGGGTGTCGTCATGGTAACTAACACCATGGTGGTAGTTGCCAGATGACCAGTGCACATGTGGGTGTCTTCATGGTAACTAACACCATGGTAGTAGTTGCCAGATGACCAGTGCACAAGTGGGTGTCGTCATGGTAACTAACACCATGGTGGTAGTTGCCAATTGACCAGTGCACATGTGGGTGTCTTCATGGTAACTAACACCATGGTAGTAGTTACCAGATGACCAGTGCACAAGTTGGTGTCTTCATGCTAACACCATGGTAGCAATTACCAGATGACCAATGCACACATGGGTGTTTTCATGGTAACTAACACCATGATGGTAGTTGCGAGATGACCAGTGCACACGTGAGTGTCTTCATGGTAACTAACGCCATGGTAGTAGTTGCGAAATGACCAGTGCACATGTGGGTCTTCATGGTAACTAACACCACCATGGTGTGTGGTGGTGGTGGTGATAAGGATGACAAACAACAAAGGGAATATACTTTTAAAATCTTAATCTACCTTATTTGTTATCCTATTGTAAAAAAAAAAAAAACTAATATAGGTAAACAATGGCGTGAGCTATTCCAGTTTTAGCAGCGAAAATCCTTATTATATGACCCAGTACTTGATACATCCTCACTGTGGGTGAACTGTCCAGCTAAATGTCCGCAGTATCATCACAATATTACACTTTTTATTATGTGAGAACGTGGCATATAATACACATTTCCTTTGTTGTTTGGCATTTTATATTATAGTTTTTATTGTAAGTAAAATATGTTTAATTAGCATTCATGGAACAGGATAGATTATACAACTGTATCGATTTATGTGACATTCTGTAACGTATTGTTTGGCTGAACTGTAGTAATAAAATAAATTTTCCCAATCTATAGCTTCATATATAGTATTTTCCAATAATATTTTGTATGCAAGTAGAAAATACAAGTTGGTAGGAAAATATATTCAGCCTGAATCAGTAGAAGTACTGTAGAATGCTCCAACTTGATTTGCTCGAGACAGCTTCCAGTAGTACTCAGGAAAGTTGTCTTCAGTTTGCCCTGTGCTACCGCTCAGCCGTGCGTTTTCTCTTTCTCTCCTTCCGCACTCGTGTTCGTTTTCTGTGGTGAGAGTCCATGCATGTTCTATAAGACAAAATATATTATGCTATTATACTTTGTTTCCCGCACCGGGGATACTTCTACTCTTTGGGACGTTGAAATGAGAGCACTTATACAACAATCTTTTTATCACTGTTACGCCATATTGAAGTAAATTTCTTTCTGGATGACCCATGCACACTTTCTTTTTTTTTCAATGGTACTATACTTGCGAAAATTTGACATTACCATCCTTTCGAGGCCTTGGGTGTTTTCTTGAAATATTTGTGGTATTTGGTAAGAGTTGTGTGGTTATGTGATGGGGTGTTTTATGGTGGTGACACAAGGAGGGGCTATCTTGGCCGCATGATGACCGCCTGTCACCCAGCACCATGCATGAGGTCCAACCAGCGGCCAGCAAGCAGGCCGGGCACCACTAAGCTCCTCACCATTGCTTCTGTGGTCTTGCACCTTCACCTCGTGGTGCACCTGCTGCCGCGCGCGCTTCTTGCCGCTGCTGGGTGTGACGAGAGAGCAGTAATTGCCCCACATACACACACACTTCTGCTAGACGCTTCTGTAGTTCTGAGGCCAGCACTAGCCTCCCTGTCTTCAGATAAACTTGTGAGCTCTTTAGAACGCGTCTGTCAATTCCTACGGTACTGCTGCAGAAGCATGACCTTCCTCACTCATGTAGAACTAGTCTAAACCATACATTAAGGAGCTTTAGAAAATGTCTCCTCATCAGGGATGAAGGTTAACTTTTGCCTTTTGTATTATGACTTGTAGCTAATAAATGTCTCCATGTTAGTATTTACTCTGATAACTAATTTGATAATACAGTTGAGTTACGACTAGATTGCAGTTCTCTCAATTAGTATGGAGTGAAGGCAGCCTTAAAGTTGAGCTTTACAGTGAGATAACATGACGGTGGGATGACAGGCGCTTATCACTTACAGACGCCGGGCATGAGGCCATCCCCAGGTCCAAACCCCCCGTCCCAAGCCTCCCCCCACCCCCCAGGGGGGCCGGGGGGGCCTGGTGGGCCGGGGGGGAGCCCCATGCACATGAATCTACAGGTAAGCCATTCGTTCCTCTAGTAAGCATGAAACAGGTGACCACAAATAAGGGGTCACCGGTGGGGGTGAATGTGGAACAACGCAGAGGTCACAGCATGTCAGAGACCTCCCTCCCCCCACCGCTCGTATTGCACATACTTGTCCAGGAAGGTCTATCTAGGGATCCTCCTGGCTGCCAGGGTCTTGGCAGGGAAGTCCAGGGTGGTCTGTTTAGGGACCCTTCTGACTGGCAGGGTCTTGGCAGGGGAGTATGTCTGTCTTGGGTAGTCTTATGCAAGGGTTCCAGCAGCACCAGGATACAGGCCTTAGGATAATTGCTCTAGTCTCCCCTCTTCACATTTCACACATTATGGCGCCAGTCAACTGTGTGGCTCCACTCACGTCTGGTTGCACTCACCTGTGTGGCCTCACACCTCACTTCACCTCGACTCACCTACCTTATCTGGCGTCCAGTAGCTTTACTGTACACTTCCAAAATCTCTGTTCCGAGATATTTGTCAACTTCATTTACGCTAACACAAGCAGCCACACCTGCTACCACCACACAGCCATACAAACACTACTCACGGATCAGCCGGGCTGTGGCTCGTACGTTGGACTGCGTGCGGCCAGCAGTAACAACCTAATTGATCAGAATGAACATTAAAATGGTATAAAATACGGACAGATTGTTAGGTAAGACACATATGCAACAGTTAGGTATCTTTATTTCGAAACGTTTCGCCTACACAGTAGGCTTCTTCAGTCGAGTACAGAAAAGTTGATAGAAGCAGAAGATACTTGAAGACGATGTAATCAGTCCATCACCCTTAAAGTTTTGAGGTGGTCAGTCCCTCAGTCTGGAGAAGAGCATTGTTTCGCCTACTGTGTAGGCGAAACGTTTCGAAATAAAGATACCTAACTGTTGCTAATTGATCAGGCCCTGATCCATCGGGAGGCCTGGTCATGGACCGGGCCGCGGGGGCGTTGATCCCCGGAATAACCTCCAGGTAACCTCCAGGTAGCACCTGCTACCACTACACAACCATACCAACACTACTCACTAGCACCTGCTACCACTACACAACAATACCAACACTACTCACTAGCACCTGCTACCACTACACAACAATACCAACACTACTCACTGGCACCTGCTACCACTACACAACAATACCAACACTACTCACTAGCACCTGCTACCACTACACAACAATACCAACACTACTCACTAGCACCTGCTACCACTACACAACCATACCAACACTACTCACTAGTACTTGCTGCCACTACACAACCATACCAACACTGCTCACTAGCACCTGCTACCACTACACAACCATACCAACACTACTCACTAGCACCTGCTACCACTACACAACCATACCAACACTACTCACTGGCACCTGCTACCACTACACAACAATACCAACACTACTCACTAGCACCTGCTACCACTACACAACCATACCAACACTACTCACTAGTACTTGCTGCCACTACCCAACCATACCAACACTACTCACTAGCACCTGCTACCACTACACAACCATACCAACACTACTCACTAATACTTGCTGTCACTACACAACCATACCAACACTGCTCACTAGCACCTGCTACCACTACCCAACCATACCATCACTACTCACTAGCACCTGTCACCACTACACAATCATACAAAAACGCAGATGTGATTTACACAGATTTTGCAAAGGCGATCATGGAGCGATAGCACACAAAATGAGGGCCATGGACATTACGGGGAAGGTAGGCAGATGGATTTTCGGGTTCCTAAGACACAGAACACAAAAAGTAGTGGTAAGCAGAACAAGATCCAGTAGCAACGAGGAAAAAAGGTCAGTGCCCCAAGGCACTGTCCTGGCACCTCTGCTATTTCTCATCCTCATAGCAGACATGGATAAAAACACCTGTCACACGGTACAGGACACTGAAAAATTACAGGAAGACATAAATGGTTTTCCAGTGGGCAGTGGAGAACATGACGTTCAGTGGTGATAAGTTCCAGCTGCTTAGGTATGGAAAGAATAAAGAACTCAAAAGGAACACTAGATACAAAGCTTAAGAGGGCCACCGAATAGAACGAAAGGAACACGTAAAAGACCTGGAAATAATTATGTAAGCTGACCATTCTTTTAAGGAACAAAAGACAAAGATCACAACAGCCAGGAAGATGTACAAGAATGGTATACAATACCGACAAGATGAAATTGAGACACATGTGCAACATCTGGGTATCTTTATTGTAGACGTTTCGCCATCCAGTGGCTTTATCAATACAAATTCCAGGACATAACTGGAATTTGTATTGATAAAGCCACTGGATGGCGAAACGTCTACAATAAAGATACCCAGATGTTGCACATGTGTCTCAATTTCAGCCAGGAAGATGACGGGGTGGGTATTGAGAACTTTCAAAACAAGGGAAATAAAGCTGATTGTGACACATTTCAAGTCGCTAGTGCTCCCTCATTGAGAATATTACTTAGTGCTGACGGCCCCGTTCAAAGCAGGAGAAATATCGGAGCTGGAACAAATACAGAGATCGTTTACGGCTCACACTGAGCCAGTAAAGCACCTAAATTACTGGGAACGCCTTCAAGTCTTGAATTTGTACTCATGGGAGCGGAGGAGAGAGAAATACATGATAATATATACCTGGAAGGTACTCGAAGGCCTGGTCCCAAATCTGCACACTGCCATAACATACTGGAGTGAGAGATAGGGGAGGAAGTGTAAAATACACCCAGTGAGGAACAGGGGTGCGGTGGGAACAATAAAGGAACACTGTATCAACATCCGGGGTCTCAGACTATCCAACATCTTAACAAGATATCAGAAACACTGCTGGAACAAGTGTAGAAGCCTTCAATAGGAAAGTGGACAAGTATCTTTACAAGGTGCCAGATCAACCAGGCTGTGATGTATATGTGGGGTAGTGGGCCTGCAGCAGCAACAGCCTGGTTGACCATTGACCAAGCAAGCACCAGACGAGCCTGGCCCACGGCCGGGCTCCGAGAGTAGTGAAACTCTCGAAACTCTACAAAGACATATCAAAGGTATATACACACTGTCGCCTGTTACCACTACACAACAATACCAACACTACTCACTAGCACCTGCTACCACTACACAACCACACCAACACTACTCACTAGCACCTGCTACCACTACACAACCACACCAACACTACTCACTAGCACCTGCTACCACTACACAACCACACCAACACTACTCACTAGCACCTGCTACCACTACACAACCATACCAACACTACTCACTAGCACCTGCTACCACTACACAACCACACCAACACTACTCACTAGCACCTGCTACCACTACACAACCACACCAACACTACTCACTAGCACCTGCTACCACTACACAACCACACCAACACTACTCACTAGCACCTGCTACCACTACACAACCACACCAACACTACTCACTAGCACCTGCTACCACTACACAACCATACCAACACTACTACTCACTAGCACCTGCTACCTACAAAATACAACATACTATAATTACCAACCAAAACTACTCACTAGCACCTGCTACCACTACACAACCACACCAACACTACTCACTAGCACCTGCTACCACTACACAACCACACCAACACTACTCACTAGCACCTGCTACCACTACACAACCACACCAACACTACTCACTAGCACCTGCTACCACTACACAATAATACCAACACTACTCACTAGCACCTGCTACCACTACCACAATAAATACCAAACTACATACACACTAGCACCATGCTACCACTACACAACCACACCAACACTACTCACTAGCACCTGCTACCACTACACAACCACACCAACACTACTCACTAGCACCTGCTACCACTACACCAACCACTACCAACACCTTACTCACTAGCACTGATAAACCCACACTAACACAACCACACCAACACTACTCACTGCACCTGCTACCACTACACAACCATACCAACACTACTCACTAGCACCTGCTACCACTACACAATAATACCAACACTACTCACTAGCACCTGCTACCACTACACAACCACACCAACACTACTCACTAGCACCTGCTACCACTACACAACCACACCAACACTACTCACTAGCACCTGCTACCACTACACAACAACCAACACTACTCACTAGCACCTGCTACCACTACACAAACCATACCAACACTACTCACTAGCACCTGCTACCATACACAACCAACCAACACTACTCACTAGCACCTGCTACCACTACACAACCACACCAACACTACTCACTAGCACCTGCTACCATTACACAATAATACCAACACTACTCACTAGCACCTGCTACCATTACACAACCATACCAACACTACTCACTAGCACCTGCTACCACTACACAAGAATACCAACACTACTCACTAGCACCTGCTACCATTACACAACCATATCAACACTACTCACTAGCACCTGCTACCATTACACAACAATACCAACACTACTCACTAGCACCTGCTACCACTACACAACCACACCAACACTACTCACTAGCACCTGCTACCATTACACAATAATACTCCAACACCTCACTTCCACTAAGCACCTGCTACCATTACACAACCAATACCAACATACTCACTAGCACCTGCTACCACTACACAAGAATACCAACACTACTCACTAGCACCTGCTACCATTCCACAACCATACCAACACTACTCACTAGCACCTGCTACCATTACACAACAATACCAACACTACTTACTAGCACCTGCTACCATTACACAACAATACCAAAAGTTCTCACTAGCACCTGCTACCACTACACAATCATACCAACACTACTCACTAGCATCTGCTACCATTACACAACCATACCAACTACTCACTAGCACCTGCTACCACTACACAACCATACCAACACTACTCACTAGCACCCGCTACCACTACACAACCATACCAACACTACTCACTAGCACCTGCTACCACTACACAACCATACCAACACTACTCACTAGCA